AAGATTGAAAAAAAAAAAAAAAAAAGGCACCTTTCGGCCATATTTGCCCCGTCTACATTCCCTCAAAGTGTTGCCTTTTTATTGTGGCAACATTTCATCTGATGTGGTAACTGCCCTGACACACTGCAAGTCTGTCAGAATCTCTTTTTCCTCTCTGTCTGCGCACGGTTTGGCCTAATTTGTCTCGTATCATTGACCCGAGAAGACACAAGACCAGTCAGATTTCTACAGTTTTTTTAGTCAGCCTCGCTCTGACTGTATCCATCCATTTTATTTATTTACGTCGACCTCCAGAATGCTCCGGATGTATGTTGAATCAAGGCAGAAGCTGCAGCAGAGGACAGGATGCCGTCCGATATGAGATACTTTGTTTCCTATTTATTGGGTGCCATGACAGTTTTCTGTTTGGCCTGTAGACTCGGTTTGTGTACGGCCATCTTTGGGTCTGGCTTTAGGACCTTGTGCTCTCTTTCATATCCTCTATGATGTATATACAAGTGTATATAGTCGTCTCCTCCCTTCCTCTCTTTGAACCATTTTTGAATCCTTCTTTTCCTCTATATCTTTTTCTGTATTTCTCTTGGCCTCCCATCGTCGGCAGGCTGGTGTTGCCTTCATCTTAATGTGTGTGTGGTTGTTTTTTTTCACACAAAGTGCACTGTAATCTAACAAATTATGTTTTTCGTAATATCTTTTAAGTTTCCAGCGTCTTTGATTTGATCACTTTAATCAAACATTTGTTTCCTGTGTTCTTGTTTAGTCTTTTTTGCATGTACATGTTGCTGCGTCATCTGGTATTTTTATTTTGTAATTTTGTTTTTATAAAAGGTTTGAAATATGATAAAGGGTTTGATCACTATCTCACTGAGGTTAAGGACTGAAATGGAGAGATCCCATCTAACTGTTGCCTGATTGGTTGTTGCCAGGATCTACCCATGAGCCTTGAAGGATCTTATTGGTCGAGGCAGTTTGGGTTTGATTGATATAGATTTTTTTTTAGGCCAATACCAAAACTGGTACCTTTGGACTGAAGCTGCCCCTAGTTGACATTTAATCGTTTAAGTTTTCATATCAAAGATTTTAATATTTTTTGTTTCCCCAAGAATTTTGTTCTAATCCTGCCAGATAATCATATCAGGTGGACCACACTGACTGGCCATTATCATGTTTAAATGAAGTTGTTCCACACATCAGCAAACTGAGAACAGTTCAGTGTAACTCTACTGTAGCTTTATTTGATCCCAAATGTTTTAAAGGAATAGTTTGACATTTTGAAAAACAGGTCGACTCGCTTTTTTGACAAGCGTAGGTTGAAAAGATTGCTATCAATGTACATCCGGTTAGCTTAGCTTAGCAGAAAGATTACGTGGCAACTTCACAGTGATGAACAGCCTGCAGGAAGTCACTGCATCCAGCCGAGGATCAGCCCACCACATAAGCCCATATACTTCGTTTTTTAGGTAGCTTTAGAGTAGGCAGGTGATACAATACATATCACAATACAGGGGTTATGAATCATAATATATTGCGATACTGTAAGCAAGGCAATATATATAAGTGTCTTTCCATTTAACATGAAGCTACATCTGGATAGCTTAGCATAAAGAGAAAGCATAGATGAAAAGGAGTGGGATGAAAAGATTGCTATCTTTTTTTAGTAAGCTTTAGAGTAAGCAAGAATGTGGCGATACAATACGTATCACAATACAGTGGTTACGAATCATAATATATCACGATACTGTAAGCAAAGCGACATATATTGCGATTAGATTGAGATTGAGAATTGATACAATATCACAATTCAACAATCGCAATATTTTTTTCTATTTTCTCTCACACCTACTTTAGAGGTAGATCTTATTGCCGTTGCTATTTCGCGTTTTCAGTCTTTATGCTAAGCTAAGCTGCTGGCTGTAGCTTCACACTTAAGCTGGTGTTAGTCTTCTCATCTTACTCTGCATGTAAGTGAATGAGCATATTTCCCCAAAATGTCAAGTTATTCCTTTAAAGAGGTGGGCAGTCTTGGGGAAATCCTGTCCCTGAACTCACCCTAGGCCATTATGAGCTGCCACTTGCCCAGCCTGGGTGCCAGCATGTCAAGGGTTATAAATGTAAGGTTTTTGTATTACTGTAGAACATGTAATGGTTGAATAGAAACGCCTCTTCTGTTCTGTCTCCGTATCCTGTGGAGCTCACTGTGCTTTGCTTTCGTTCCCATCCCGATTCCTCCCTCCTGTCTATTATCTCTCTGATGTTTTTTATTCTACACAAACTGTAAAGAGTTTCTACCATGTACAAGTTGTGTACAGCTGTGCTCGAGTCTTAACAGTTGTTATGGAAGGAACAGGGTCAGATGCGGCACAGCCTGACAAATCTGACAGACTGAAAAAAAAACTCTATTTCCCATAATTCCTTGTAGTAAAATCTTTTTTGGCAGCTGGAAAATAGGCGCCCATCATGTTTCTCTCTATTTTTCAGTCTTTCTCCGCATTGATCTGCTTCTCCTGCTGGGTTATTATTATTATTATTGCTGCTGCTGCTGCTCTGTGGCTGTTGTAATAAAAATACAAAAGATCTTCAACAGGAAAAATAACAACTATGATGTGAAATAATTTCAATCAAAAATAAATTGTCTGTGAATATGTTTCAGCTGTGTGTGCCATGTGTTCTTTTTGATCTTGTCACAAGATAAACCTCACTGTGAATCTAAGTAATTAACCACTGTTTTTTTATTAAAAGAGACTCCTTCCCATGACCCCTGTTATTACTACAGTACTACTGCAGTAATTTAACAACAGTTACATGATGCTGCATGTTGGTTCAGTGCAAGTGCGCCATTCTCTACCAACATATAAGCATAAATTGTGTATTTCTTTGTATTATGCTAACTAATAGCATAATAATAATAATCCAAAATGATGCATTATTATTATGTATATACTGTAATATGTCATCAGTCTCCTTTTCTAGCCTGGTGTAGCTACATGTTTTGACAAATAAAAGCAGGTCTCAAATAGAGACCTGGTCTGGATTGTATAGAAATTCTTGAATGTATAAAATCTCCAGCCCAAGTTATATTCATACTGGTTTAAATAAACAATTTGATAGTATATACCATCTTTGCTGAGCAAGGATTTTGTGCAAAAGGAATTAAAGGCCTGTCCCATATAAAGGCCTGCACCAAATATAAGTTGGTTGAGTTCAGCGACTGAAGCAGATAAAAGCCTGGGATATTAAACTCTAGAATACCGCAATAATATTAGATTGTTCTTCAAAAGATGTCGTATTAGAAAGCTAGAAAGACGCCACGGGTTAAAGATAGTTGATTATTGAGTCTCATTCCCAGCGTCAGTATTTGACGACCTGGCAGTGTGACTCAGCAATCAACTAACTCTCTAAGCTCTAATGGGTTGTTTTCGTTCAGGCCCGGTGGATTCTTGCAAATGCCATTAGGAGCACTAGGAGGAGCCAGAGGAACCTGATTTTTCCACAGATTATCTGTTTCATGTACTACTGTCAGGATATAGTATAAATGAAAAATTATTATTATAAATGTTACCTACTGCAGCTTTAATGCAGAGATGTCTCACTCATTTCAAGGGAATATTCTTTGTTGAAATGAGTGTAAAGTTTCAGTTGACAGGGGAGTAGAGAAGCTCTATCTATGATTTTATGCAATATCTGAAGTTCTTGAGATACTGGAGTCTTACACTTCATCATCCAATTTTCTGGTGAGTGAATTTTACTGCTAATCTTTGTGAGTGAATTAGTTGAATCCACCCTTGTGAGCTGTTAAATGGTTAAGTTGTGTGTGAGTGCTGTAGGAGAAATTTCTGTGCACATTATTTGTGCCTTAATCCAATAAGAAAAACGGAAAGTCTATTTTAGGATGGAGCAACTGATTTATACAGTGATGTTTAGTATAACTTTCCCCTTTGAAGGAGAGTGATTTTCTTTCGCTGCGTCTTTATGGTACAACAGTGATGGGAAGAAGAAGATTAGCTTTATAAACTGGCGCTATACATTTAAATAAAATTTCGCAAAATGTTACCAAATTTTTTAAATGAAAAAAACATTAAAATCATGACAATGAGACATTGTGTGAAAAACATGTTTTCTGAAACATTTGTAGGTCAGTGCATCTCTGTAGAACTACAGTGTTTTATTATAATGATGTTTGTCATATTTCACCTTTATCAAAAAACTACAGCTTCTGTGATTTGCATTTTGTGCTTGGCCATTTTGGGATTTTGATAATATTTGGATCAATCGTGCAGCTACGGACTGAGGTACTGCTGCCCATATAGAGTTGAGCTGTTGTGGCGAGCCAAGCTAATTGATGAGATGATCCTGAATAATTTAAACTGTTTTGGTTGGACTGATTATTGCCAGAACACTCAAAGATACACTTCATAGCATAGTTTCATCCTTTCACTGGACTGACAAGAAAGAAATCCAAAGAAGAAACTGTTCATTACTTTAGTCATTGTTTATTGTGCTGATGTCAGTTTCATCTGCTGAGTGATACTGATATTTGGGAGCTGAAATTATTCCAGGTATTTTGGACAAGAATGTAACAGGGTTTTGGGGTTTGGGTTATTTTGACACACTGAGGTTAAACGGTGTGTTGCTGATATACAAAGGGTCATTAAAACATGGTGTGTGAGTAAATCATGTTTGGTGGGCTAATCTTCTTTACTCTTGCTACTTGTGCTTATTGCTCCGTACTCATTTCTAGTGGAAACAAAGTCACTGTTTTAGATGTAGAGATACCCACATCTGTACCACTCTCTGTCTCCTATAGTAAGCTAGAGCTGAGCCTGGTTACAAAATGCAATATAAATTTAGTTATTAGCCCAAAGCTGGCCTCTATTGCCAACTTTTTGGACGGCCTGCTGAACTCTTGCATCTTTAACAACATGAATACATGCTAAATATCATATATTACTGAATCAAATCCAAGTCAAATTAGGAAAGTAAGTTGACATAAATATAGAGGATATAGTTCACCAAGCATACTTTATTGACTCAATTTATAAGAAGGCCACAGAGGAATTATAGAAAAGCTATAAACATCATCAGGCTTCCAATTAAATACATGCAATGTTTTCATTACACTGGATCGAGTCACCTGCTTTCATCAATCTGACTTCACTCAAAAGATACACATGACCACACAGAGAAAATAATGTCACACTTGTGAAAATACACAGCAAAAACATCACTCATGTCATCGGACTCACACAGCCGCCGGTGCCCCCCCCCCCCATGCTCTCTTACACTATTCAGCATATGAAATCAGACACAAAAAAGATGGAACACAAGCTCCTCAGCAGAAGAACAGTCTACTGTACTATTACTTCAGTTAGTGGACACTCTTTTTTAATTGAAAATAAATAGAATCTATGCAAGAGTGTTGCCCATCTCTAACATCATGCAGTTTGAATACAGACCCATCCAGGTTGTTAAAACTACACTGGCTGTCTGTGGGGACCTCCTATCTTACCTCAACCTCCCATCTTATCTGTCATAAAGGAGTCAAACGACTCACTCTCCCTCAACCTGCCTCACCCAGTTCTGCTTAAGTTAATGGTTTTGTATAAATTTCCAAGAAGGCTTTGGGAAAAATAACTCCCTGAGAAGTATGTTCATATTTTCCAATATTTCTATATCTGAGAAAATATTAAGACTTTAAGTTTCTTAAAGGTTATATATATATATGAGATTTAGAACATTAATGTAGCAGCAAACAACTATTCTCTATGTAAAGATACAGTGGAATCATGGTGTCACACTCCCTCTGTCTGTGTTGCTATCGCAGCCTCTCTGTGGTTTGTTTCCATAGCCGGTCTGCTCTGTGTGCACCTGAGTAGAGGGACTGAAACTGCTGTTTTTATCATCTACATCAGTGAATTAAGGCTTTATTTCCACTAAACCAGAGTTGGTCATTGTTGGAACAGTGGAAAGACTAACAAAGTTAGGATGTTACGATGTTATGTGAGGTAAAATGACCATTTTTGTCCATGGAGTCTGGTAGAGAGTGATAGTGATATTACAGCTGTTTCTGGCTAAACCAGTTCTGATCCAATCTGATACTTCTACTGGTCTGATACTGGCAAAAATCACTGGATCAGATATTGGAGGAAAAAATGATGTATGATCCAATGCGATCCTTTAGCCTAAAACTATTAGACATAAAGACTTAAAATTTTGGGCTATGTATTTCTTCCTTCAAGGTTGAAGAATATTTTTTTCACAGTTAGAGCATGATGTTTTTAGATGGCTAGGTTAAACAAGGGCATCCACACAAATGTATATTAACAGCTTAGTTCTTCATCAGAGGGTAAAAGACAGTATTGGATTGGTATTGTATCAGACATGAAAAAGTGGTATCGATCCATACCTGCTTTGAATGAAGTTATGATGTTACAATGATATGCCAGCTGTTTCTGTCTACGGAGTCTGTTAGTGAGTGATAATATGAATAGCAATATTACAGCTTTTTCTGGTTGAAAGGTCGATGCAGGGATCCTAACGTTAGCTTACTTGTTATTGCCATTGGAGCCATTTTTTATAATAATTTTTACATATAACTCGTTGAATTTAGGGTTTATTTCAATTAAACCAGCGTTGGTGATTGTTGAAGACCGTGGAAAGACTAATGAAGTCGGTTTTAGTGAGTTTTGTTTCTGTTGTGGAGTGAGATTCTGGTGCTCTAGAGTGACATACAGCAGCAAGTGAATTTCATATATATAACCTTTAAATAAATAAAAAACGGTTTGGGGGAACATTGGATTTTTGGCATGGAAATGAAAAATTATAATATGTCACAAATGGAAAACTCTTAACTACACAGATCACAATTCCTTTAGTAAGCAGATCTTTAGTCGGCACTTCTCCACCGATCAGGCAGGAAGGGCGTGGACAGGCGAGGTTCTGCGGATTCCTCAGGAGTAGAACTTACTGTTGTTTATCTTCTTTTCTCTTGTCCTGGGACGCAAAGAAGACAGTGGAAACAGAGACTTAACACATTTGCAATTCCATTTAACCACGTAGTCCCCCCCCCTACCCTGTGAGTTTGAGGCTAACCTGTGTCTCTCGCTTGTGCTGACCTCTCTTGTGAGGTGGTTCTGTTGGCGAGGGGCGGCAGCACGAATGTTGGTGTGTGTGTCATACAGGAAAGGTTCACTGCTGAGCTCAGACTGCTTTTTCCTCAGCTGGCTGGAGGACGAGTACAGCTCCTCCTCAGCTCTCTGAAGGACGAGAGTCATACAGTCAGAAATACCTCCATGCTGAAGTCAAACTGTGTAAATCCACACTAATGCGCGCTGTGTGTTTGCTCACCCCCGCTTGCTGTACGCTGATGTGGACCAGCAAAGAGGCTAACTCTAAGTTTTCATTGTAGCCGTTCTTTAGAGGAACAGAGCGGTAACCTGTCGAAACAAAATAAAACACTCAGTCAGCTCTGTGTGCACACAGTTAAACCTGTTAATGATAGGACATCAACCAATTACATCAAACTACACATTTGACCCTTCTTAAGTCCCGCCCCCTTTGGAACCTGGCTCATTATGGTTTAAAGATAAAGGCGACATATAGATAGTCACATCTTAAGGTGGCCAGCTACTGTTAGCAAAACACAAGCTAACTTGCTAGATAATCTGCATCAGCCTTGAGCTAGGTAATTAGTGTTTTGCTAACATTCGCTATCAGATGTGACAAGCTATCTAATGGTTAATGTGGATTAGCTAGTTGGGCAGTGTGTTGCTCAGTAGCAAAACGCTAGCTAACTATCTAGCTAACAATTGGTGTCACTTTTATCTTTCCGTTTCTGGTTCTGATCGAGCCTTGCTATTGGAGCATAGACCAAAAAGAGGCGGGACTTCGGAAGGGTAGGTAACGTTGGAGAAACTAGCAAGAGACAGCTAGATTTTGAAAGTATCCAACCCAAATAAATCCCACCCCCTCCCAGCAGGTAGGTAGGTAGACTGGCAGGTCAATCAGCCAATCATTTCCTTTGGTCTGAATGAAAGGATTAGCTGGGCTACAGGCCTGTGACTGCTGAAGATAACAGATTTTACCATAGCTTTTCATTTATTGATTTCTGTTAGGATGTAAAATAAATTCAACAATATAACAAAAATTGCTTCTGAAACACAGTACATCATCTACCGTAGCTTCAAAGGACCACACTGATGCTTTTATTGTTGTAGCCCCTTTACTTCAAGGCATATCATTAACATTACTGCCTTAGGGCCAGATCCCCTGCTAGTGTGCCCCAGGGCAAAAGGGAGCTGTGTTAATTTGATGAAACACTAATGAAAATAGGAATATTCACCGTATAATATCATATCACATTTAAAGATCCCCTGCAGAAATGTTCTAAGACATATATTCAAATAATCTGTTTGGAACAATAATGTGTGTCTGATATGTGTCTTCTGCAAAAAAATTAAATGTATAATTTCCATATTAAAATCCGTAAAAAGCCATCTCCTCCTTCTACCTCCAGAATCTCTGAATATGCAAACGTTGTTGATTTCTAAAGTTGTCTCCTACTTCACTGTAAAGTCCATTCTCAGTGGATGAGCACTGGTGGCTGCACTGTCTCAAAAGAGGTAAAAGAGAAGGTAAAACTGAAAGGTAATAAGGTAAGTATAGTGTACAGAAATCCTGCTTCTAGGGAAAAAAGTACAGTAATACTCATGCTTGACAATGAGTACTACACGAGCTTCATGAGAGCAGCCATTTACCAGCTCTGGCCCTCTGTGCTCTCTGTGCTCTCTGTGTGTTCTTACCTGAGCGGATGCCTTTGACAGGATATGTGGCCTGAGCCAGGAAGTTGGGGTCTGAGAACATGTCCTCCTCGTTGACGACGAAGCGCAGGAAGGTGAGTTCAGGCTCGTACACGGTGAAGACTATAGGCTCTGCTGGGGCTTTCCACACTGGGTTCAGACCGTTATCACCTGCAGCAGGAAGAACGACAGCATTGTTGGCGTGATCACAAGCAATCTCTCACTCCTCCCTCTCCCCTCTCTCCGTCCCGTAGGTTTAGCTTTCACCCTCCCCATCTCCCACGTTCCCTTTGCTTACGATAGACGATGGTCTTGAACTTCTCTTCTGTGTGTCCGCACAGCTCGATCTCCACGAATGGACTGGCGATGCTGCGGCCGGGTTTAGGAAGGTGTCTGGCTGCAATCACCTGCAGAGGACAGACACAGTAAACTGCTCAGTATGCTGCTATTCACTGCAGCATCATACACCTCTAACAGGATGGAGAAATGGAGACGTTTGATGGAATCTAAATATATCCTAAAGCAACCTCATGATCATGATGTTGATGTATGTGTTAGCCACTTTTTATAAAGTGTGTGTGTTTGTGCACATACTTACCCTGACCACAATGTTGTACTTGACCTTCTTCTTCTCCTGCTGAGGGTTGTAGCCATCGTCGCGCATGAGCTCCGGCTGCAGCACGTAACCAGTATGTCCATTCAGACTGAAGAGGGCGCTGTTCAACTGGGTGTATTTATCTGGGTGGACACGTACACATTATATGCATCTCTGCTTTACACATGTGTCATGAGAGCTGAAAACAGTTTCACCTAGCCTTTAGGCAGCAAGTACTGAATTGATCTAATTATAAAGGAGGGAATCTGTCTATTTTTATGTATGCATGTCCACTGATGAACTGCAAGTCTCGGAAACCAAATTCTATTTTCGTTGATTTTGTGGGTCCAGATGTCTCTATTAATTTAAGCCACGCCCATTTGCGTTTAAATTGATTTTCCAGACCCCATCATTACTCAACTGACCCTCAGGTGTTATTGTTGTGGCACATTAGTAAAGCACTGAATAGAAATGTCTAAAGGTGGTATTAGAAATCAATACACTGTTTTATTTCTAAATCTTCAGACACTTTTCCAAATACAGTTTTGACAGTTCTTTTCATTTACCGGCCTATCACTGAGTCTAAAATGTGGCCATAACAGATAATTAAATTGTATCCACCCACTGCTGCCTGTTCCTGTTCCTACATGTACCCTGATCTTACCTGCCTGCTTGTTGCCTTCTGCTTGTGTTTGCAACCTGCTGCCAATATGTGACAAGCTTCCTGCTTAAAGCTGGGGATAACTTTTAATACAAATATTTGAGGAAACATTTTTATTTCTTGATGTATGTCGCACGTTAGCAAGCATTTAGGCCATGTTCAGACTGAAGGCCAATCTGACCCAAATCAGATTTGTTTTGCTTATATGTGACTCAAATCTGATTTTTCCATGAAAGTGTAAACAGCTCAAATCACATGGAATCGAATATTATCAATTCTGATTCCGGGCACTTTTATATGTGGTCCAAATCAGTGACCTTAGTTTGAACAGTCATATCAGAATTAATGTGACTTTTACGTCACTCTAGACAGACATTGTCATGCAGGTCAATTCAGGACTGTGACCTGTTTAGACTGGAATCAGATTTGAGCAACAAATCAGAATTGAGCTTTTGTATTGTGAACGTAACCTTAGATATCAGTGATAGACAGTGTAATGCATCCGCCAACCAGATTTGGCGGTGATGTTATGTACAGCGAAGGTGGAGCCCTGTTTGTAGTCCTGTTTCTGAAAATAGCCCCATATGTGACCAATCCCTAACACATGGAAGTGGATGGATAGACAAGAGTACAAGAGTATTGTATGGGACCCCCAACATTTCCCTCTGCTCAACCCAGATAAACTACTGTACCTGCAGTCTGGAAGTTGAGAGCCACCATGTGACAGCCAACAGCCCACAGTGGGTAAGGGTCGTAGTTGGAGGACTCCACGCGCTGACCTTTCGGGTAGATCCGACTCAGAGCCTTGCAGTTGTACTGAAGGAAGTCCTTGGTGCGGCTCTTTCCCGGGATCTTGTTCTCCATGAAGGAGCGGATCTCTTTGTAGGTGTAGCTGTCTAGAGACGGAGCAAAGAACAGTGATTTGAGAGGTTAGGGGTCAGCTGCTAACGGTTTCAGGTTGCATCAGTCGATGGCCACAGACCAATGAACTGGACTGAAACTGTGGATACTTTGTGGTCACACTGAATATTTTGAGCTTAACCTGTTAACTAGTTGTGCTAGTTAGCTTAACATGTTGTTAACTGATGGTGCTAGCTGGGAATATAATAGACACCAGATACCTCACTTTTGTTGCTTGCTAAGAAGATTGGTTTGTTATAGAGCTGCAATAATTAGTCGATTAGTTGTCAACTATTATATTAATTGCTTTGAGTCTCTTTTTTTTTAAGAAAAAGTGTCCAAATTATCTGACTTCAGCCTCTGAAAAGTGAATATTTTCTGGTTTCTTTAGTCCTCTATGACAGTTGAGGACGTAACCTTGTGCTTTGGGGAACAGCGATCATCATTTTACACATTTTTCACATTTTATAGAACAACAATTAATCAATTAACCAAGCAAATGATCGAGTCATGGGGTACTCGGATCAAGCAGCCTGCCAGTGATGACAATGCACCAGGTAGCAGAACTTGTCAGCTGGTTGTTGTAGGCTAGTAATGTATGTAGATATAAGACCACGTCTACTGTTTGAGAGATGAGAGTAGAATTCAAAGGCAGTTAAAGCTAAGTTAGGTCAGGGTTAGAGAATGGTCAGAAAGCACAGCAGTTTTATGATGGCAAAGCCTTATAGCCCATCACCCACAGTGTTTCCTTCTGAATTTCTGAACCATTTATGCTATACTCACGACTGGAAAAATAACTAACCTGGGTAAATGACCTCTGAATATGTAACAGCCTTGAATAACAGAGTCATCTGATATAGACTGTTATGGTGTGGATGTTGGTTATGTATGGAAATTCATTCAGTGCATTTCCAAATTTAGATCTGTGTAACACAGGAAGCAGTCTAGTCTTTAGATCTTTCTTTTTAGTCACATCCTGTTTGTTGAACAACTTTGACTTGTGGTGTAAGAACAGTGAAGGTAGCTCCTCGCTGAATAACTCTCAGGTTATTCAGTTTTTCCTCTACAAGAATGAGGTCTGACTGTAAAATGCAGCATGGAGGCAATGAGTCAGTCTGCAACTACATTGCAGTTACATTTCCCACAAATGAATTTGATCAGTACAGAAAAACTGGCTCATTGGATCAAACTTTGTTACACAGGAAATAATAACCAAAATGCTGCTATTGCATTTCCAATCTTCATAGCTAAGATGGCCTTTTCCACATATTTAAATGGACTGTTCAGTTGGAAAGCCACCTACCATAATAGCTTTACTGCTATATTCCAATTAATCAAGTAGTGTATCCAGGAGCTGGTTGGCTTAGCTTAGCATAAAAGACTGAAAGCAGGGGCAAACAGCTAACATTGTGTCAGATTGTCAGTCAGATTTATTCAGCCTTTCCTGACTTGACAAATTCTACACCAGACATTATTTGAGTTCAACTAATTCTAATGCAACTCTTCAAACTTCAGTTCCAATGTATATGTTACAAAAAACTGGGTGTTGGGAGATCTGTGGTTCGGCTGCACGGCTCAAATTCAGCTTATTAACTGACATCCATTGTATTCCTACAATGATACAGTGTCTCATGTCTTAGGCTCTCTGGAGGGCTACACAAATAAGACCAAGTCAAGCTAAAACTAGCCTGCTGTTTAACTTAACACATACATATTGATACGCGATTGGAGCGTATTTCCACTGTGAACCTGTGGTAAAGTTTGTCACTTCAGGTCCTTTTCACACTGTCATGTTGCTCGTGTTCACAGCTTTTTGTGTTCAGTATGTGCATGTGTTTACCAAAGCGGTCCTTCTCCTTGCTGCGTGGCTGACAGTAGACCACCAGGTCAGACATCTCCATGGCAACCTCTGCCTTCTTCTCCACTTCCTCCTGCTGTCTGATCTGAGATTGGACAGACAGACAACCACTTCCTGTTTGCACAATGATGCTAACAGACCACCAGTGAAACACCCTATTGTGGTTATACAGCAGGTAGTCTGTTTTAAGTGTGTACTGTAATGTACTGGTAATGTTATATATACTGTATATCTGTAATGTTAATTGCATAAAATGGTTTAGATGTCCACTGTAGGTTTTAACTGACTGAGATAGGCTCCTCCATCACTACATATATTATGATATGCCATGAGATACAAACCTCTTGCTCCCTGTGGTACTGCTTGCTCATCTCTCTCTGAGTAATGTCCCAGGCCACCTGGTACCATTCAAACAGCTCCTCCAGAGAGCCTGCAGCCAGGTCAAACTGCAGACTGTCCTGCTCCATGTCCTGCAGGGTCAGCACATGGGGCATCCCGCTTTTGCCATTCTTCACTAGAAACAAGAAGGGAGGAAAAGAGGCACATTGAGAGAGGGCGAAGATGCACAGCAATCATATTTTTGTAGGCAATGCATATTTGAATCCCATTTTAAATTCTGGATTCAGTCCCTTGACATTACAGATGAAACCAAGGGAAGCCACATTAATGAACTCTGATATCTTTACTGTGGGAATAGCCTAAACAGCATAATGATTGTCAGAGCTGGTTAACCCCACCCCAAACTTGTTGGTGTCAAGAAACCCCAATTTTGTGATCAACTCTCCACCACTAGACATATAATAGCTGTGGGAGGCTCCTGCTGTTTGCCCTAGTATCTGTTGTTGCACCTGAGTCCATGTTTCCCTGAATCTCTGAAAAGAGGTAGTGAGTGCAAAGACCCGTAGAGTCCAACCTGTGGCCCTTTGCTGCATGTCATACCCTCTCCCTTCCCTGTCTATCTTGACCTGTGCTATCAATTAAAAAGCCAAATAGAACCCCAAAAATATAAAAAAAAATAGATTGGTCTGACATTGATTTAGTTGACACCCAACTGCACTAATATTTGTTTGTTTACCCTGTAGTTTTTGGTTTTTTTGTTACTTTACATGCCTTGCTAATTAGCAGAGGTGGCACTAAGTCATTGTTTTGCAAGTCACAAGTAAGTCTCAAGTCCCAAATCAGGAGAGACAAGTCCCAAGTCCTAAACTATACTAGCATTAATGTTCATTGTTTCAGGAACTGATCCATGGCACACTTTAAAAAAACCACATAAAAAACAAAAAAACTAAATATTTTTTGCATCTTTGGGCTTGGGGAAGGTATCAGGTATTTTCAAGTCAAATGAATGTGAATGTCAAGCATGTTTCAGACACTTAAATAACTCACAGTTCTGGATGTTGCACTTGGAGATGTCCACAACACCCTTACATAGTTCACCTAGTGGGTTGTCTTCCATGTCCTGTTTTAATACACATCACAAACACACAGGTTAGATTATTTTTTACTCAGTCTCTATGCTAATTAACCTCCAGTTAAACTGTGACCTAAACTCTAATCTTCACCTGGTCTTTGGTCTCAGGTTTGGTGTTGTTGCTCAATTCCTCTACATAGTTGGATGGAAAGAACAGCTGCACTTTTCCACCATGGTCGCCCCTCCACCTGTAACGTGTACTGCAGTGAGACTACCAATTGATGTCGATTAGATAGCTTGTGTGTGTGTGTGTGTGTGTGTGTGGACTCACCAGCCGTCATTCTCCTTTGTTACATTGTGTATCAAAGCTCCTTTAGTGAAGCTGAGCTCATCTGGCCTTTTCGACTGGTAGCAATATAGAGCCCTAACTGTACTTTGAGGCTAAAGGAGACATACACACACAATCATGAATGTATTTATCAAAGGAAACTGCACAAAATAAAAGACAGCCAAAGCTGACACGGTATAGTCCTGTTTACACACCAGTAAGGGCTCAATCTCATTGGGTTCCACGTATGTCTTCATCTCGTACAGAGAGGCACAGTCTTTCTCCTGTGCAGAACAATCAGCTGTTAGGTACCGGTCAGTGCAGAGGACATGTTATTGGATTTAGAAACATATACTGAATGATATAACCCCTGTATTCTGACACATATCGTACATTCAAATCTATTATGTCTCAGTTTTTCTTTTCTATTACTATACGCTGCTACAGTGACATGGATTCTCAACATTTTCTCTGGCCTTGTCTCCTGCAGTAACTCACTGTGCTGAAGCGGTCCACCAGCTCGGGGGTGACTGGGTAACGAAGCTTGATCTTGCGATACAGCGGCTTCTTCTTAAAGTAGTTGACCAGCTCCACCAGGCTCTCAAACTCTGTAGTGGTGCCCAGCAGGTACATGTTGCCTTCCTTCTGGATCCGGCAGTGTTTCACCTTACCGTCTCCTCTGAAAGAGAGAGAGCTTGATTCATACGAAAACACACACACACACACACACACACACACACACACTCACACACATAAAGCAGGAAGAGAGAAATAAAGTGTCACTGCACCTGAATGTGATAGCGAAGGAGTCTGGTTCTCCTTCTCTCTGTCGGATGAGGAAAGCTCCATCCCTGGGAATCCTCAGCAGGTAATCCTCCGCCTGACCTCTGCTCAGGTTACTGTAGAACCACCTGCACACACACACACACACACACACACACACACACACACACACACACACACAAACAAAGACAGTTACATTATGTATGCGTGTGTATGAGAAGATGGTTATTAAAATTGTGTGACACAGTATGATGTTTTGGCTGAAGAGGTGTTTTTCCTGTCATGCCAGTAAAGAAAGAGAGAAAGAGAGAAGTGAAAAAGTTACTGTGATTCTGTGGGCGTATCTAGTGAAGAGGTTAAGCTGTACCAAACTGATATAACAATGCCAGCAAGGCCAGGTTAAAGGTGCCCGGGCAGCAGCCCATTTGCCCTCTTTAGCTGAACTGCCAACCTCATCGGATGGACTTTAATAGATGAGCAGGTAAAGAGAGTGGATCAGTTCTGATTCTTCCAAATCAGAAATATATCAAAAGTCATTTTTATCCTGTGCTGATACAGTTCAATTAAATGTTATTTGTATAGCATCAATTGATAACAGAAGTTATCTCAGGACACACAAATAGAGCAGGTCTAGACCAAACTGGGCGGCTGTGGCCTAGAGGCAGAGCGGGTCGTCCACTAATCGAAAGGTGGTTGGTTCGATCCCCGGCTCCTCCCGCCACATGTCGAAGTATCCTTGAGCAATGAATGAATGAGTATGAATGGGTGAATGAGTTTCTGTTCGATGGGCTTTGCCATCACTGAGTGAATGTGTGTGAAAGGGTGAATGTGGCAAGTAGTGTAAAAGCACTTTGAGTGGTCGGAAGACTAGAAAGGAGCTATACGAGTACAGGTCCATTTAGCATTACCATTACTCTTTATAAAATGATTTACAGAGACCCAACAGTTCCCACCATGAGCAAGCTCTTGGTAGGGTGGCCATTTCCTTCACATCAAAAAGGAGGACACTTTGCATACACGGGGACACGCAAGCAGATATTTGTTTGGTATGATCCGGTTTTAAATTTGAATGTTTTTCCAGCAGATTACATAAAGGTGCATACACATACCACATAGCTAATAATAAATATACAAGATACAGCTCATGACAACGTGCCCTTCCAATTCAGATTACATAGCTCTAATGAACATCATACAGAAACTGTTCTTAATGTTTTTATCTGGATAGATAAAGGGTAAAGAAATGCAGCACCTTCGGTTTCAGATGTTTAGGCTTTGCCTAGGCTTTGCCTATACATCTGAGTATGAGCATTTTCAGAATTTCCGTCCAACAACTAACGTTAGTTCTCTGTCCTGAGAGCTTGATTGACAGCCTGGTAGTAGCAACACATGGCCCATTTGAATATCAAAATTAGCCATGTGTTGATAGGTCACAACACGAAAATGTAACCAATGAAATTACTTATTTTGACACACATTTTTAGCCAATAACTATTAAACTAACGAGGTAATGTGTCAAAAGGTGGACCTTTTTAGTTATTTTCTCAAAAGGAGGACAAATGAGTGTGACAGGGCATTAAAGCCGGACGAATGGCCACCCTAGCTCTTGGTGATGGTGGCAAGGATCTAGCAGAAAGTAATTCTTGCTTTTATTTCATCCCGTCTAGACTATTGCAACTCTCTCTATACCTTCCTCAGTCAAAAACAGGTATAGAATGCTAGAATTGAGGCACCTCAGCTACTGCTATCAGTAAGATTTAGAATTGATTTTAAGATCCTACTGATTACTTTTAGAGCACAGAAGAATTTAATAATTAAAAATAATTTTAACACACTGTTTGTGGATGCATTATTCGGTTACAGTTCAAGTATAAAAAATATGGTAAATGTAAAGGATAAACATACTGTATATATGGTTTAAATTTACCAAAATGGTATTAAGGTATCATAATGAACCACTAGCTTACATTGTATAATGATTTTTAGCATGTGTATCCAGTTCTCTGTGATATCGTGTTGCCTCATATATGACATACCCTTCATGTAGATGTGGGTTGGGCTGTGGTACAGCATCGGTGAGACGCAGCTCAAAGTCTTGGCAGCGCAGTGGGTTGTCTCTGTAGTGCTGGATCACGGAGTACACGCTGGGAAAGTGTAGGTTTGGCGTCAGGTAGTAGAAAGTGTGCCCCCCCTCTGAGCCTGAGCGAATACGACAGTGCTGGACCCTCCCACTGCGCCTGAAATACACGCAGGAGACGTGTGTTTACAGATATGTACATATGATTAAAATATATCACACAATTTGTATAACAAAAGCAAAAATATTCTTAAGTTTGGACTTTGCACATGTCAGCTCATGGCCTTGGGGTGTTTTTCTTTACAGTGGTTTTGGTTGGTTTGGCCATTAAGTCAAGAAATTGGATGTTGTACCAGAACGAGAGGGTGAAGTCTGTCACATAGGTATCACTCTCTCGGACCAAGAAGGTGCCATCTCTTCCCCCAGTCTCCGCACAGTAATCTTGGATCAGTCGCTCAGCCATCAGCCTGCCTTCCTTCATGCGACCGTGAAACCACGGCTCTGAAATGTGCAGGTCCTGGAACTGAGAAAGACGACAACAACACCGCTTTTGTGGACCACCTAAAGTCAATTGATTTAAAATTTAAAACAATGTGACACAAATATGCAGGTAAACGTTCCTCTCTCTCTTTTACCTTCTTGGGATCCTCTTCCTCCTGCTCATACTCCTCTGCGTAGTACAACTTGTCATTAGAGATCACACAGTAGTGCCTGTTCCACCGCTGAGAAATAGAAATGAGAATGTACATGTTTAACTTCAGCCTTTCAGAGCAACATGCAATAGTTTTGATTCTAAAATGACTCACTAAAGTTTAAATATTAATTATTTCTCTATATCAACAAGGAAATCCCAACAATGAACCTCATAATTCAGATAATGAGGTTGGTATCTCTCTGTAGAATCAGCAGAGGTATAAGACTGGAACTACTTATGCTACTATTGCTGAAGCTTCAATAACTCCGACATGTGTTTATAGCTCTAAAACTTGGTAAAAAATCAGAAACATAACTGGGGAATTTTAGTGAAACCAAAGTATGAATAGAAGTGTTCATTTATTATACAGAGTCTTGGCTGTTTCTTGTCTATTTATAGATGGTGCATAAAAAGGTATATTTCCTAATCATGATGACACCAACACATTAGAGCTTTGAAAAATGTTTAAAAAACAAATTTGGTTTGGGTTGGGCTCGGGCCCAAAACTACTTGGTGCAGGCTTGGTTAGGGCTCACATAGAATATCTTTTGGGATCAGGTTGGGTTGGACATGATTTTTTTGACCTGGCCAAAGCTCTACAACTTCAAAGTCCGGGGGCATCCAGCTTTGGATTATGTAGTACGTTAGTGAACTTTTTCATGTCAACTTCCTTTGAGCCTAGCCTTCTGTTTTTCATTAGTGGCGTGAATATAGCTGGGAAAGCCATCCATCCCCTGAAGGCTGTTGGTTTCTAGTTTGTGGTTGTACAGTTTGAGGCTGTGATTATCCTAGAGGTCATAATAGCTCATTTTCTACAGTGAGGTCAAGTTTAAAAAAATGGGGAGGAACATCATCACACATGAATACTATTGGGTTAATTGAATCAACAAGAACATCAGCTTTCTGGTCATACCCAATTTATGCAAACACAAAATGCAAATAGTGTTTATGCAAAACATATTCAAGTACACTAGGCAAAAATAGCTCATTTCTATTGCATACAAAAAAGTGCATGTTTTTTGCCCAAAACCGCATGGGATTAGCATAAAGTAGACATGTTTGTAAAGGGGAGACTTGTGGTAATCTATAGGCCCATTGTCATTCAGATATCTTGAAGTCAGTGGTCAAGGGATCTCTTTAGAAAACATCCATGTCAGTTTTCCCACCACAAATGTTTTGCCTTTGGAGGCTAACCCTAACTTTGGAGTGTTATTTAGCCCCCTTCCCGACAAGCTAGCATGGTGCCAATAGATGTCTTAGGTCCTCTAAGCCGCAGACATAGTCGTGAGCATGGAGTAGACTCGCCTGAAAGTGGGGGGACAAAAAGTCTTGTTGTCACCCTATTCCGGCTCCAGTGATTATCACCACTTGGGAGGATGTTGTCTCACAATAGGAGTTTTTTTCCCCTCCCAACACAGAACAAGTCTGAGCAGGAAGGCGACACAAGAACAAATTCGGATCATCCTTGACACAAAACTGCTCTGCACAGCATTAGCTATCACTGACACACTTCACTTCAATTTAATTTGTATAGTGCCAATTCATGGGTCGTGGGAGGAGAACGAGGTAATCAGAGGTTACCACCAATTCGAGCCTATATGGACGATCTAACAACACTCACAACAACTGTCCCCTGCACCAAGAGACTGCTGGAGAAACTTCATCAAAATATAACATGGGCGAGGATGAAGTTAAAGCCCAGTAAGTGCAGAAGCATCTCCATCGTGAAAGGCCAAGTCACAGACCAAAGATTTCATGTCGGCGGAATACCTGTCCCAACTGTCTCAGAAATGCCAGTAAAGAGCTTGGGAAGATGGTATGATGCGAAGCTCAAAGACACCGAGCAGTTTGAACAACTAAAAAATTATATCAGCAAGTACATGGAGCGCATCAGCAAGACCTTGTTGCCAGGAAAACTGAAGTTGTGGTGCTTTCAGTTTGGTATACTCCCAAGACTCTTGTGGCCGTTAACTGTGTATGAGATCCCCATCACCAAGGTTGAAAAGTTGGAACGGCTGATAAACACACAGCTGAAGCAATGGCTTGGAATTCCACGTTGTTTAAGTTCCGTCGGACTTTATGGACATGGCAAGTTGGAATTACCATTCACAGGGCTCGTGGAAGAGTTCAAATGCACCAAAGCAAGGGTCGTCATGACCCTAACTGAATCCGAGGATGCAGTCACGGCCCCCCGCGTGGTAGCGGGAAGGAAGTGGATTCCATCAGAAGCTGTTCAGAGTGCAAAGTCTGCGGTTCACTTCAGAGATGTGGTTGGACAAGTACAGCGTGGGAGGGCAGGGTTCAGACTCATTCCAAAAACTCCTCTGTGGCACAAAGCAACATCAGGGCAGAAGAGACAGCTAGTGGTAGAAGAAGTCCGGAGACAGGAGGAGAGAGAGCGATATGTCAAAGCCGTCTCAATGGCCAACCAAGGGAGATGGACTAACTGGGAAGGCCTGGAGAAGAAAAAGCTCAGCTGGCGTGACATCTGGCAGATGGAGGGAGCGCGGTTGAGTTTTGTTATCAGAGCCACATACGATCTGCTACCCTCCCCCCAAAATCTGAAAGCGTGGTATGGAGAAGATCCCACCTGTTTCCTGTGTCAAGTACCTGCATCCCCAAGGCACATTCTATCAGGGTGCACTACAAGTCTCACTCCAGGGCGCTATACTTGGCGGCATAACCAAGTACTCAGAGAGCTTGCATCAATACTGGAACAGAAGCGAACCACCACAAACAACCTCCCACAAACATCAGCAGGACAGGTCAACTTCACAAATTTTGTACCAGCTGGCAAACATCAAGAGCATTACACAACACCTAAGGATACAAGCATCCTGCAATCAGCACGGGATTGGAAATTGGAAGTGGACCTTGATAAGAAGCTTGTGTTTCCCCCAGAAATAGTGGCTACGACACTCCGGGCAGACATGGTCCTGTGGTCTCCAACAACAAAGCTGGCATATGTTGTGGAATTAACATTACCATGGGAAGATGGGGTTGAAGAGGCTTATGAGAGGAAAAAGAACAAATATTCCGATCTGGCAGCTGAAGTATTACAGAACGGCTGGAAGACCAACATCTTCCCAGTAGAGGTGGGATGCAGGGGTTTTGTTGCCACATCTATCACCAGTCTGCTGAGAAAAATAGGGGTGAAGGGTTGCTCTCTCCAACAGTCCATGTCAAGTGCTGCTGAAAAAAGCAGTAACTGGCTCTGGATCAAGAGTAAGGACCCCAACTGCGCAGCAAGGTAGAGACAGATGGTATGCAGTCAGGCTTAGGCCCGACTCAGGGAGAAGGACGCCCCTGCCATGGAGAGCCCATTAGGGATATGGAGGGTATGGCATGGAGGGGGGTGTACCTGGGATGCTGGGTACACGTTGTGGGCTTCAATCAATGAAACGTCAATGAAGCAGGGTGCCCACCTGATGACCCCAATGACATAGTTTACCATCCTTTTCACCACTCCACACCGACTGCTACTGTCAAGAGTTTCCTTCTAAAAGGATTGAAACATCTAGTTCTATTAGCTTTACTAATAACAAATGTTATCTCAGGACACTTTTCAAATAGAGCAGGTCTAGACCGAACTCACTTACAAAGAAACCCAACAGTTCACACCATGAGCAAGCACTTGGCGACAGTGGCAAGGAAAAACTTCCTTTTAAGAGGCAGAAACCTCAAACAGACCCCGGCTCTAGGTTACACTACAGCAGTCTAATTAATTGTGTAATAAGTTATTATAGCTGCAGCTTCTAGATTGTTGTGCACACTGTTAATTCTCAGCTCAGTAAATTATAAATGCGTAATTTCCGTCCGATTGTTTTTATAAGGCATTCATTTCTTCTCTTCAGGCATTTGTAGCTTTTCCTCTACTTTTGCAGCAGGAAGAGCCTCACTTCACTTACTATGCAAAAAAACACCCAAATGTCACATAACTAATATATATGGATAGTCCATTTATTTTCCATACTCATGGACCTTAGGTTAGGAAGCACAAGTTAACACCAAGTGGCAACCCCTGTGGCTTTGAAATATTACCATTGCACATAAATTCAGCAGGTGTAAGAGTTAAAGTTATGAACTTTACTGACTTCTGGCCTGGTGCAACATTGTTGATGTAGTGTGAAATTTAATCCGGAGTCTGCACGCTGTATTTTATTTTGAAGTGAAATTGACCGGATTCTCTATGCTGTTTCTGTGTGTGACTTCCTGCCAGTGCAATCTGCTCTGTGCTGCTTGACGTATGTGAGTCGGGGTTTCGTCAGAAATAGACCAGCTTCGTATTCTACGCAGAGCAGAGAAGAGCAGAGGACAAGCTTGTGAGGCGCTTCTGGTGGAATTTATAGCTTTGCCTAGAACTCAAGAGAGCCGGACTGCGGCAGAGCCGGAGAGTGTCGTGGCCGTATCTGGTGGAATATCGGTTAGACTCTCAGGTACCTTTCCATACCTACGGATACGTTGTTCGCTCTTAAATAAATCACAGTGAAGTCATTCCAGTGTGTTGTGGTTAATTTTAATGTTTTACTACATAGTCCTGCTACCAGCACCTGACTTTTGTTGGCAGTGCATGGGGAGTTTTGTGTACAAGTTATAACCTTTCCATACCTATTTAACCCCTCTACCAGTACCTGATCCACAGGGTCCCACATCTCCAGGTCTCCCTGTTTCTGCCCCTTCCTGAAGTCTTTACTGATTCCTGCTCCCTCCACAGTGAGCTTCTTGTGCTGCAACAAGGACAACATAGACAACACAGACATGGCTGTTACTAATGACAACACAAAACTTTTCTCGGTGATATACCAGTTCCACTGACACAACATTATGCTAGACACACACACACTCAGTACCTTGAGTATGATCTTGCCTTTCAGCTGTGTAGGTGAAGGTAGCTGCTCAGCCATCTGTTCCACAGGGTCAGTCAGCAGTTTGTCTCCAAACACATCTCTGAAGATACGAGCCATCTGACGCTGCTGCTCTAAAGGGCAATGCTCCTCTATGGACAGGATCACTGGGTACCTGAGAGAGATGCATGGTTACCAAAAAATTACAAAAAAATAAAAAAGTACCAAGAGAAGGGGCCTGAACTGGTATAATTACATTATCCTTAATTAAAAAAACATTTGTTGGGAAGCACAAATCCTTGCACTAGTTTTAATTTATAATTTATTTATTTTACTTTTATTTAACCAGTGATATAATCATTCAGACCTGGATGCTGCTCCATTTACCTATCTATTGGCCACAAGGGCACCTACCAACTTGTAAATAAAAGGGTGTGAATGAACATAATGTTGTCCCTGTCATAGTGACAATTTTTTCGTGATTCTTACTCTGAAGTCACAAAAGCGTGATCGTTAATGGCTTTGACCACATCCTCAAACTTGATCTTGGTCGTCCTGGTCCAGCCGTGGTAAATGATTGGTTCCCCAGGCCCTTCCCAGCAGTCCACTGGACAGATTCAGCATTACAAACACAAAAACAAGTGTTGTAGATATAAAATGTGTTATTAATCTCTCTGCCACCCCCACTGACATTAGGATTTTTGTAAAATGGCCTAAACTGAAACCGATGCTGTTAATCTAAGTGCCAAATGTGAAATAGAATACATCCATGATCTAAGTGTAGCACAATGAGGCTGTTATATATATACTGACATTCAACACAGCGGCATCCCAGACGCAGGCAGCGTACGTAAGCCTCTGTAGACGACTCACTGCGAAGCTGATCACCTGTCAGGTAGCTGTTGAACACAAAAAACAACAGACATGCTAATTATACATATTTCACAAAATTAAAACCATGTGTTGGTACCTCTGCTATGGAAGATCTGTTTTGGTCCTGTTTTTGCTAGTTGGCATCAACATCATTTTTTTAATGTTTTTTTTTATTGAGCACTGATAGTACAGGACATGTACATAGATAGATTTTCTCTAACTGTATGAACTGCATTAGGTCATTAAACCACAGAGACACACTAGGTGGATTTTTAGATTTCCAATATAATAAAATTCTTCTGCGTGCAAGCAGTGTTGTAAAAGCAATGATGTTTTTATAACTTTTCCTTATTGTAGAATATCTTCTGTCTGTAGTACCAAATATGGCCATTACTGCTTTGGGTTGTAGGTCAATATTAAGAGCCTCTGACAATGTTTTAAAGATTGCAGACCAATATGCTAGGGCTGAGCACGACCAAAACATATGGGTGAAGTCAGCAGGAGTGTTTCGACACCTGTCGCAGCTTGCATCTGTGTTAGGGTATATTTTAGTAAGTCTGGCTTTGGAGTAGTGGATGCGATGTAAGATCTTAAATTGTATTATACTTAATTTGGCACATGAAGTGCTGTCATTCTCTCTTAGTAGAGCGCTGTCCCAAATGTCTTCTTCCAAGTCCTCTCCCAGCTCATCCACTCAGTCTGCCTTGATCTTTGCAAGAGTTGTATTTTTAAAAGAAGATACAGTTGTTGTTTCTTGAAATAAAAAGTAGTTTCTGACAGAGCATCTAAACCAGAAAGTGATGGTATATATGGAAAGTTGGGATCATGATGCTGAAGGAAGTAGCGGACTTGGAACTGGGATCACTTTCTAATAAAGGGTTTATAATATGTAACTAAGGGCTTTATTCATGTTAATATATAATTGATTAAATTAATTAATTAATGATGATTAATTAAATAATAAACCAGGTATAAGCCATTCACTTTTAGACTGCCAAAGAACACTTGTGTATTCTGCCAATAGTCAGAGCTAACTGAGCTAATCAGCCATGAGCAGCTGCTGTCAGACTCTCCACATCTGGAAACACAGAGTCCCCTGGAGCTTTTACAGTTACTGGAAGCACATACATGGCCATTTATAGAAGTTTCTGTGTGGTACCTGTGTCGCAACGTTAGCTAAGCTAGCGACTCAAAGAGGCTAACTCTCCAGTGTCTGTGGGAGAGTGTCAGGCTATGGCTCTGTAGCAGGCTGCCGTTGAGAGAGGCTTTATAGGAACAGGTGGGGAGGGGAGGTTGGTTGGTGACAAAACCTGCAACCATATATGTCTAGTCTCCATATGTCTCCAAATCAGCTAATAGCTAAATTCAATTGCAGTAGCATTGTTAAAAAGCCATATTGTTCCATCACAAACAGTGTCAGTCACTTCTTACATGATGAGTATGATGCACCTTACTCCATATACAACGTGTAAAACTTCTAATAATAGCCCAGGCATTTACTAGCTTAAATTGCCCTGCCTTTATTGGGGACAGGAATCTATTTTAGAACAAACAAATTGAATTTCAGGTTGTACTTTTTTCTCTTTGCCGCCACCATGACACTTCATTCTCACGCGTGAACATCGTTTTATGCCAGCTAAAGATTTATGGCACCAAGCACATAAATAGTGAGCAACAGACTTCACATGACAATATTCACAACTCTTTTAATCGGTGGACCTTTACAGTGTAGCATATTGACAAAAAACATTTAAACATTTGTATTTGTGTAGGCGATCTAAGCAGCTTAGAACTCACTCAAGCCGGTTTTTTACTAGGTTTTATACATTTTCTATCCAGACCGGGCTTCTAATGGGGACCTGAGTTTATTTGTCAACACATTCCCCGCTCTGACTATAAAACTAAAGGTGACCGTGCCTTTGCTGTTTTAGCCCCAACATTGCGGAATAGTCTTCCCCATTCACTCAGATTCACTGAATCTCACTGTTTCAAGCGGCTCCTCACAACCTCAACAGACAAGCCTTTCTGTGTGTGTGTGTGTGTGTGTGTGTGTGTGTGTGTGTGTGTGTGTGTGTGTGTGTGTGTGTATGTGTGTGGAGTCATACTGACGTGTTGTGTGAGGAGTTGATCCAGTAATGGGAGAGAGGGTTGTTCATGTCCAGGTTGCTGATCTCTGAGAACTTCTCGTCCCACACAGAGTTCTCCTTGGAAAACAGGAAACTGAGGAACTAGAAGAGGAGATCCCTCTTTATGTTACTTGTGTGATTCAGTTTAGAAATGATACAACTTCAAATATAACAAACAACAAAGATTTCAGCAGTCATGATTTTTATCCTACTCTTAACACCAACACCTGCATCCCTACAAGTAACTATTTATCCTGCTATTTCCTGCCAAATTCAGCTCAGTGTTACATCACATGCAGTGGAGAGTCAAAATGACTTTAAGATGACGAAAGTATGTCAATGAAAACACATTCTACATAAAGTGGCCTGCCTGTTATATCTTTGCATGCTCATGTACACACAATGCATGCAGGCACAGAGCAGAATACCTCGCTGACGGTGAACTCTGGATCATTGGTTTTCCTCATGGTGTCGTCAATGAAGGTGGTCATCAGTTCTCTGACCTGGTTCAGATCATTGGCCCAGGTTTCCTGAGGGTGGAAGGGACACAGTAGAAGTAAGAAAACAATACTAAAGCAAATGTTAGAATGAAACTGTGGGACTAACACTTCTCCAGTGTGATGTCGAAACTTGAAGCCACCAGTGCACATCCACTGAGAATGGACTTTACAGTGAAGTAGGAGACATCTTGTGTCCAGGACAACTTTAGAAATCAACAACATTTGCATATTCAGAAATTCTGGAGGTTTTAATGAGGGAGAAGGAGGAGATTACTGTTTAAGGATTTTAATGTGAACATTATACTTTTTTTGTGGAAAAAAAATCAGACACACATTATTGTTCCAATCAGACTATTTATATACCTTTAATGTTTCATTTAAACTCTCAAAAAGAACTTTAGGACCTTTTGTCTGTCTTCTAAAATCACAAAACAATGTTTTCCTTTACAGGAACATATTTTTTTGTTTGTTTTTTCTTTTTATTCAGTCTTAAGAAAAATTAAAACAAACATTAAAGTAGATGTGGGATATAGTTGTGGATGATTTACTTATAATTTGATGACAATGGTTAATATATTACATAGGAAAACAGAATGCATTATGATGTAAATTAAACACAAAAAAAGAAAAGGAAGAATGAAACAGTGAAACCGATATTATTAACCCAAATTATAATGACAATTGTAATTTGTTTATTTAAAGTTTGAGGTCAGAATTTCTGGCCTCCGCCTAAACCAGTTCATCGGCCACAAATGGAGCGAAGCCTGGGAGCTAGTTCAGGCAGTCAACTCGAGCTGCGCTGATATACACACGTGACATGCCTCACTCCATAATCACTAACCAAGCACACCCTTCCAATCTGGCGGTCTATTTAAACTTCACAATTTCCCAGCTCTCCCTCTGCTCTGTCAATGCCGCTGTTGCCCTGCATCTGTATTGCTGCTGCTGCTGTTAGCTATTGCTGCCTGCTGCGCTGTAAGCCCCACCACCACCCCAGCATCCACCTGTAGGCTCCAACAGGGGGGTTAAGGTATTTGCTCATCACTCCCCAATATCTCTATGTAAACATATCTGCGGGGACGCCAAAATCTAAATATGCTATACTGCTGTAATAAACATTTCAAACGTGAGTTGGCTGACTGAACTGGGTTTGGAGTACCTCAGGGGTCAATTCTGGGGACTACTTTTCATCTCATTACATTTATTCTGATGACACGCAGCAATAACCATCTTATAAAGCCCACTGACCTTGGTACACTACAGGTCCTTTCCTACAGGACTATCTAGCAGATGTCAAAAACTGGATGTCAAATAATGTAATAGTTTATTTAGTTTAATCTTTAATCAAACTCTAATACAACAAAGATACTTATTATTGTCCCGCAGTATATCTGCAAACAAGTTCTGCCAAATCTAGTCTTTTTACCTCAAATCCTTGACCATAAAGACCTAAACTAAAAATTCAAATTTAAACTGCACATCGCAACTCCCTCACTTCACCCTCCCCCTTCCAAGCGCAAGGCAGAAACTATGGTGGTTGCGAAGCACCTGGAAAACGGTACTGGGCTACTGTAACAACAAACAAACATGGCATCTCAACTCTATGGAAGGTGACCTTCAGTGTCTGTAGATATAATGCAATACAAATGACTAGGAAAGTGAATGGGAAAATAGTTGTCTGATAGACAAAGTTACAACATCTCTCCTGTCTGGTGTACTAATCCTTCACTGTAGATTATTTTACCTTTTGCTCATAGATGAGGAACCGCTGAAAGTCATGGAGCAGAACTGCTGAGGCATCTGGTTTATCTGTGTTACTGTATAATGGAAGAGAGCAAACACACAGTCAAACCACACTGACAAACATTGACAAACCACAAACTATCTTTAAAAAACATGAGCTTACCCCAGAATAAAAGCACATGATTCCTTTTTGAACTCGTCAAGGATCTGAGTTTAAAAAATAATAATGAATGACTATGCTGAAAAACAATATGTGCAATAATACATACAGTTACTTTAATGTGATCAATTCAGACTCACCTCATTCTGTTCAAACATTATATGGTTGTACAATTTATGAAACTGCTCAAAGTCCAGGCGGTCTTTCTTTGCTCCCACTTCCTGTGAATGCACAACATAGAAGCACTCAATCAGACTGCAACAGCACCTATAGAAAGTAAATCATGTCTAATCTGTCATCATTAAATAAAACAGATGCACCAGCCGTCTGTGTCTATAAAGTCTAAGTAGGTTTAGGCTTAATCACAGAGTCATGTTTCAAAGTCCGGAGAGAAAGAGGTGTGTAATCAATTCATTAGATTTATTTACACACAACAATGATGAGGATATGTAGCATAAATGAAAGGAAAGAGGAGTACCTGGAATTTGTCTTTGAGAGCTCGAGAGCTGGGGACCTTGTAGTTGAGCAAAGGAAGCAGAGCCTTCAGCTCCTTCATGGAGATGCTGGGAAAGACACACAAAAAATCCTCTGGAATCCTCTTACACTGTTTATCATTAATATGATCTTTAATGCAGGCAAGATGCATTATTGAATGTGAGAGAGTGAGAGAGCTGGTATGAGTAACCACATCATATATATATACAGTACCTGTTTGTTTTGGTCTGATTGACAGAATACATCTGCTTCCTCAGCCAACTGGAGGGAAAATAACACAGAGATCAATGATTGAATGAGTCTTTAACACTAATAACTGTGTGAATGTGTGTGTGTGTGTGTGTGTGTGTGTGTGTGTGTGTGTGTAGGTGTGTATAGGTATGTGTGTGTAGGTGTGTGTGTGTCTGTCTACCTCTCTATGAGAACTGGAGTTGGAGCCATCAGTGTCTCTTTCCTTAGCAGATCTAGTCCCGTCAGCCATTTTTGTGCCTCTTCCGCAGAATCAGCTGGGAAGAGAGAGATACAGACAGTATGACTGTACAGACATTTAGCACTGTGGGATGATGAGCGGTGAATGGCCAGGTCTGGTCTGCTGCTTTGTTCACACAAGGTAGAGTTGTTTGACATTTCAACACACTTCCTGGAACAAAAGGTGCAATAAACAGAAAATCTATACTGTATCACCATTAAATCCAATTACAAATTACAAGTTAAAAATAAATGAATAGATCAGGCTGCAATAAGTCCCACTCATTCTGGATCCTCAGTCAACTTTCTCCTTTCCTTACTTAGATCAGCTATGTGCTAGGCTAGTCTATGTTAAAAAGCAACACATATATTCACATCTAGCTAATGTTAGCAAGACACTAACTAACTAGTTAGCTACGGATTGATGTACATTAGCTATCTGGTTAGCTCGTGATCTAGAGGTGTAGTTTCAGGTTGCACCTCCAATGTGTCACCCTCCCTTTCCAAGTGTGAAGCAGAAACTGCTGTGGCTGTAAAACACACGGAAACTGCTAATTCCCCTATATGGAGTCAGTGTTTGGTTTGTCCCTTCTGGGCTACAGTAGAAACAGCGCAGTTCAACATGGCTGTACATAAAAACAGCTCATTCTAAGGTAACAAAAAAACAATCCCTATATTCAGGTGATTATAAACTTATGAAAACATCCCTATGAATATTAGATTCCATTTCTGACAATAGATCCTCCTCTATGTTCCACACTGGACCTTTAAGTTGTGACTATATGTGTCGCTTTTAACTTTCCTTTAACTGATTTCAAAATGTGCTTGTCTTTTCAACACAGATTAGCCTACCACATAGCATATCTGAGTAAGGGAAAGGAGGAAGTTGACAGAGGTTCTGACCGAGGCTTGCTCAACTGTTATTGGAGCACAGAGCAAAAAGGGGCGGGACTTAGGAAGGGAGTATGTGAGACCTGATATAATGATAAGGAAAATTTAAGAAAATGGTGAGAAACTGCTTCACCAATCAAAGTTAAAGCTGCTGTAAGAAATATCTCTTTTGTTAAAACAAGAGTTAAATAGCTCTACATTCTGGCAGAGGTCACTGATAGGCCTATAGAGTGTTCACTCAGTAACATGGGCCTCTAACCTGGATAAAGATCATTCTCATTTTATGTAAATCTTTTAAGAGAATACGTCAACATTTTGGCAAGAGTGCCTAATTACAGAGTTGGTGTTAGGACTTGGTTAGCCTAGCTTAGCACAAATACTAGAGGCTGGGCTGCTCTGTTCAAAACATGCAAACCAACAACTCTGAAGACTGATGAACACATTGTGTCTCCTGTGAAGTGTTAGAACTATTTCTACACAGTGACTGTGGGCAGCATCCTGGAGACTAGTCACCATGTTAGCACCACGGAAGGTGACTAAATCAAAAACTTGTGCTCATTGACTGTATCTGCAGTCAGATCTCATCATGAACAGATGTGCTGGACGGATGGCTAAATTCTATTGTATATTTTTAACATGTTACTAACTGATTGTTGTGATGTAAGGATTAAACAAATAAGATAAATTGTGTAAATGCATCAGCTTCCGAGGTGTTGGTAGGTCTATTTCTGATAGAGCTAGCGTAGCTCTTCCCCTTACGTCCAGTCTTTATGCTAAGCTAGGCTAACGGCTTGCTCCTCAGGCCAGCTCTGTTAATCCACACAGACATTGATGTCAGTCTTTTGATCTCACTGTGTGACAGAAAGATAAAAAAAATATTGAATTATTTCTTTCATTAAATATGTGAAAAATTAGCATACTGGGGGTTTTCATTCAGAATTGTTGGCGCGGTTGTTGGCCTTCAAAACATCAATCCAGAATAATACAGAAATCCACTTTTAACTGAAAATTCAAAGATTCATTAAAAATTGGATCTGATTTGAACACAAGGCCAGAACCACATATAAATAAAGACCTCACCTCCCAGACTGAGGGTGTTAAGAACAAACAGTGATCCGTAGAAAATTGTGAAGCAGGTGTTTTCATCGTGTTTGTCCTTGCCATCTTTAAAGCGCTGAAAGTCCTTGGAGTTCCTCCCTTGACGAACCTCTCTGATCTCAAACAGGTCCACTGAAACACAGCACACATATTTCTGCCCATTATCATTTTTGAGGGAGGCAAACTGCTGTTTGTAAATCATCATTCCATCTGTGGCCAGAATCACAAAACACAAGGTTCTTTTTGCAGTTTCACACATTTTCAGCACTTAAGCTTCCACTTCTACAGTTAGTGTCTTTTATGGCATGGTTATTTAAGCATGCACACTAAATATTTACAAATAGAATCCAAACCAGATAAACCAACTTTCTCCTATGGTGGGCCAAAACTGACACTTAATGGTGGGTCACAGGCCAAAGCCAAACACCTATTGTACATGTATTGTGTTAATGCACATTATGAAAATCCCAAGTTAGGGCAGCTGTGGCACAGAGGCAGAGCGGGTCGTCCCCTAATCGGAAGATTGTTGGTTCAATCCCCGGCTCCTCCTGTCACATGTTAAGGTGTCCTTGAGTAAGATACTGAACCCCAAATTGCTCCCATTCACACACCGATGCTGTGTGATCTGATTGGTTGTTTTCGTTCAGGCCCCGTGGATTCTTGCAAATTCCATTAGGAGCTCTAGGAGGAGCCAGAGGACCCAGATTTTTTTTAAAACAACAGTTACCTACTGCAGCTTCAATTTTCCTATGCAAAGTGTCACTCTGCCCACTGTGCTCAGATTATGAAAAAGATGAAGAGTTTCTTTCTTCAGACTTTGACACTAGAAGGATGTTTTCACATTCATCTGCTGAAGGTGGAAAGTTTCTCTTTACTCATTGAAAAGAGAAAATAAATTAATTAAAATGTATGCTAGAAACATCTGGTGAGCCAGAGTGAAACTTTTGTTGGGACAACTTTAACCTGCACACACCACTTAGGGCAGCCTTGTTCTTAACAGTGGTATAGAGGCTTTACAGCTACACCACAAACCTCCTAGCAACTATGGTTGTTGTCAGGATAGAACGTAATGCAAATGAATTCCTCTGAATACAATGACACCACATGCCAACATGCTGAGGACTGCAGTATGGTATCCAGTATCCAATGCATTACATAACCTAAGAGCAGTCTATAGCACGATGATCATAACTTCACTGTGATTTATGTTTTCTCTGAGACAAATAGACAAACGGAAAACCAAACAGGGTTTAGGTGGCCGACAATGGCTACATGAAATAGCATGCTTTAAACAGCCTTTCCAGATCTCAAACTGATGGTAAATGATAAATGGACCTGTACTTGTATAGCACCTTTCTAGTCTTCAGACCACTCAAAGCACTTTTACACTACGTGCCACATTCACCCTTTCACACACATTCACTCAGTGATGGCAAAGCCCGTCGAACAGAGACTAACATTCATACACACTCACACACTGATGCACGGCATAGGGAGCCATTTGGGGTTCAGTATCTTGCTCAAGGATACTTCGACATGTCGCACCAGGAGCCGGGGATCAAACCCACAACCTTCCGATTAAGGAACGACCCACTCTGAGCCACAGCCGCCGATAATGTGATGTGTGATTTAAATTCGGACGTCATCATGGTAATGGCGCTAATGACTCAGCTACAAAACAGCTGAGCTGAGAATCAGTAACATCCAGAATAAAACAGCTTTCTCTCCTGCCTCCACAACCGAAAGGCACATTATCTGCATTTGGTGAAACCAAAAGAGGAATGTAATGGTGGCTTGGAATATGAGAGGGATGAATCTAAATTTGGCCAACAGTGCAGAACTTGAGCGGAACTGAGGTGAAGCCTGCAACTGGCAACCATCACCACCATGTACAACAGCTTAGAAGACGTCTAAATCAGCACAGCGGAGCCCCAAACATACCCTTCTTTAATATCTTCTTGATGCAACAATACTTTTCATAATCTCATTCAGGAACACTTAAACAATAGTAAAATGTATCTATTAAAAACCAAGCATTTAGATCAAATATCTAGTAGCCAGTAGGCGTAGTGAATCTTATAGCACTGTGATTCATTGTGATTTCCACTTTATTACATCATGGCAGATGGCACAAATCCATGTATACGTACTGCTGGATGTATGATACATTTTTTTCTCCAAGGCTTTTGCAGTTTTTGACTGTTGAACAAGAGTCTCATGGTTGGTTCTCCCAAACAACAATGAAAAAGAGTTTTCTTGCAGACAGCTGTTTACTTTTACTGTTTCTCCCCAAAACATGCTGTGCGTATTCTTAAAGCCTGACAAACCTTTTAAATGCATTTCATTATTATATTTTGAATCCTACATTGTTTCTAACTTGGACTCTTCTTGTACCTGCCTTTGCTGGCACGTTAAAAAAGCATACCCTGCTTTATGGTCTATTTTACTCTAAATGGAACCATCATTTACTAAATCAACATCATGCTGTATGGAAGAAGACTGAAAATAGAGATTGAGACCATAAACTCATCAGGAAACTATTTACTGAGATAATAAATCAAGTCAGAACTCAGCCCATTTTGCCATTACAGTCAATAAAAACATACTTCCTCTCCTTCAGTAGAGTGGCCCTCTGCCGGCCATTAGAAATAATGCAGGTTTGCTGCAGGACCAGTCGCGTTTTTACTTCCCAAACCGGGAATATGGGGCCATTATTGTAGCAAAACTATATACAAATGTGAGTGTAACTGTATCTCAATCGGTGTGTGTAATCAGATTACCAGATTAGGGTCGGGATTTAGGAAGGGTAAATTTAGTCATCAATAACTATGTTAAGAAGTGACGACAGATCTTATCATCACTATGTTCATCATGCATATAACGGAAAGTGTATGCAAGAAATGCCATCCTATAGAAAAGCTTTTTATAATAATTCAATCAATTAATTATGCAAACCCTTACCAGCCCAGCCGTTTTAATGGTGAAGAGATGTTGTCAGTGTGTTTTGAAAAAACATTACATACTCACAGACACCATCGGTCTTATCTGCGGTGCGTGTCCATGCCACCTGCCGGGTCTCCATGATGACCTGCACAGTGAGCCGCTCTGCCTTCTGCCGAAACACTGTCATGACCACGCCCATCTCCATGTCCCGTTTGATCAGAATCTTCTTGTACTCCGTCATCTCGCCCTGCTGCCCCCAAGAAGCCATCTCTGCAGCTGAGACAGGACAGGAGAGACAGTGACGTTCATTGACTGCCAACTACCAACAACCACTGACGGTGTGAAAGGCATCGTCCAAATTAAGACAACAACATTTTGAAAAGTCAAATCACCTTCATTTAGCTGAGTCTGTAAGTGTTGCAACTGATTTTAGAGGTATAAACTCCACAAACTGTCTCTACATGGTCATACAGTTCCAGGCGCAAGCTTGACGATCTGAGGACCATATTACTTAGTAACTACTAACCCGTCACATAAACACATGACAGGTTGGTACCTTACAATAAACATAGCCAGCAGCCTGAGAGTGAAATGATCTTTCTGTCACTCATCTATAGGGTCCTGCAATGGTTGTACGTATGATGCTTCCCCTGCAGAATGATAAATCATACTGAACTTTAGGCCTTAAGGAGTCACAGAATCTAGAGATCAGTGTGGGCTACCACATGACAATGCTGAAAGGGAAGCATCATATTTCATCATTGTTTCATCATTATTTTTGTTGTTTAAAGGTCCAGTATGTAACATTTTAGAGGATCTACGGGCAGAAATAAAATGCATAATAAGTTTTAATTTCTGGACATCATGGTTAAAAAACTAATATCACTATATACAAGTTGGGATTTAAGAAAATAGTTGATATCAATATCCCGGTATTTTGTTTTGTGTTATTGAATCGATTCTCAAAAAATCAGTTTTTGTGTTTAAACTACGAGATAGTGTTGTAAACATTAAACTGAGGGCTAGGATGTTGGATGTTACAGGGATAAAATGATGCATATAGTGGTGTGTTTGTCATGCTATGACAGTTTTTCTAAAATTAGATTTTTTTAACAATCGCAATATATAGCTGTGTATTGAATCGTAACCCCTGTAATATGATAGGTATCGTATCTAAAGTTGTTCCCATGCTGATACTGCCTGAAACACGGATCGGATATCGACGAGTAAATGTGCACATGTTTTTCTTTTCCAGGATAGTGAAGTCATGGCCTGGCCTACTCTGACTCTGACAAATGGTTTTTTTAAACCCATGTTTCCGATTGGTACTCGGTACTGGCTGATACCAAAGTTTAGGTATTGGAATCTGTATTTGGAAGGAAAAAATGGTATCAGAACATATCTAATTGTATCGTCAGATTCTTGCCAATAAACACCCCAATACAAGTACTCTTGTTAGAGACCAGTCCAGTAAACATATGGACCAACCTGCAGGAGTAGTGCATGAATCCCTACCTGCCCAACTCTGCACTCTGCTACGCTACGCTTCGAGCTGTCTGTTGGTTTAAAGCAACCATGCCAGACACAAATATACATTTCCTGTAATAGACTGACATTTTGTAATGTAATGAGTAATGTATTCACTAACTCACTTTAATGAACTCTTGACTTGTCATCCCTCGTCATTGCCACTCACCAAAGGGTCATTGCAGTCAAGATGACAGAACTAACCTTGTTTTCTCCCAAACATGGCAACTCTAATACCTTATATGGGATTTGGAAAACAGGCCCACCTAAACCAAGAATTCATAGGCTCTTGTGATATCTCAGCCGTTTTGGGCTCAGCCTGGGTCCCACAGGGCCATATACATCCACATTTCTTTCCTTAATCTGACTTTACTCTTATAATTGATTCATTTATTGATTTTCCTGATCCTAAGAAACACAGTAAATCTTCATATTTAAAAAGTTGGGACCAGTGAATACATGAAATAATGAACAGATGATGAACTAGTATATTAATCAATCGCTTCAGTTCTGCCTGACACATCGAAACAGCTGATTCAGAAACACGCCAACATCCCTAATGTAGGTCTACTTTACTACCACGCCACCTCAAATCCCACTCCTGCTACAGAAATTTGCAAATTTCACAGAATTGCTTGCAGACCCAAACTGAGCTGTTTGATGACCTATTAACCTCTCATCACTGTGTCTGGATTCTTCCTCATGCAGTAATAGGAAGCGGACATCGCCCACAAACGTTCTGATGAGTGGGTGGCAGAACACCCAATACATGGTTTCTCTATTTTTGCTTTGCATCAGTCTTTTATAGCTCAAGTACATTTATGGACTATGTATTCACTTACACGCAGCTGAATAGTTTAAATTTCAACAGTGAGTATTCACTAGGGATAAAATTTCAGTTGCTTGTTGAGATTCAAATGTCGATCATTTGCTTCCATGTGTGGACTGTTGGTCAGTGTGGGTCAGAGTGTGATGTGACATTTTTTGACCAAATAATTAACCAATTGATCGAGAAAGATATTAGCAGGTTAACCAGTAATTAAAATAATCATTAGTTGCAGCCCAAATCCTGTCAGTATCAACAGGATATTGCTTCATTGTTCATGTGCTGGATCCGTTGGTGATATATTACAATCTCTTCTTCCTGCCTTACTCGCTAAATAACCCACAGCTCTTACAATTCAACTAACACTTTACACTTCTCACCTCTTCTGGCCAAATAGTCAATAGGAAGCCTTAAAGGACACTCCAAGGAAGACCCGTCCACAGAAATGGCTGAGAAATAGAGACTTTTTTTTTAGCATCAACACCCGCGTGAAATGACTCACTATCACTATCACTATCTGAATTTGATCCATTCAGTCCAATAACATTCAGAAAGTCTAAAAGAGCCGCACAATTAAATAATTTTATACCCGTTTCACTTAGCGGAGGGCTAAACGGAAGTTAGCAGCTAAGCAGGCGAAAGTCTCTACTGTGCATCCTCTATGGGCCTCACAATACTGAAGCACGTGCAGATGAAGCTTTTTTGGCTTCATGCGCCAGCTTCCATAGGAATGAACAGAGCCTGCCCCCAATGCTGTATCCAGTTCTCCTCAATACATCCATGATACACACAGGTGGTGGTGGTGGTTGGTCATTATTATTTGACCCTAAAGCCCTTGCCATCTCGCTCTTTTTCTTCTTCTTTCTTTTCTAGCATCATGATTTATGTGCAGGTCCAGGCATAGCAAGGACTTTCACTCCAACATGAGCTAGTAGTTAGTTTAGATCAGTACATTTCTCAGCTCATGTAGTCGGCCGCCTGTGTTGCACATTTTGGCCGCATTCAGACTGCAGGCCAAAGTGAGTTAAATCTCGTTTGTTTTGCTAATATGTGACTTTTTTTTTTTTTTCATCACAGTGTGAACAGCACAAATCACATGGAATCTGATCGTTTCAATTCTGATTCAAGACACTTTCATATGTGGTCCAAATCAGATACAGGTCTGATTCTTTGCAACGTGACCTCAGTGTGAACAGTTACATCAGAATTCACAACTCTTCCCTCACTCTAGACTGACATTCTTGTTGCGGGTCACTTCAGGACTGTGACCTGTTCACACTGGAATCTGATTGGCCAAATTTAACAGCCAGTGAGCTTCACACCAGTGAATAGCCAAACAAAACAAACCAGATCTAGGTAATAAGTCAGAATTAAGAAGCTTAGGCTTGCAGTGTGAACGCAGCCTTTGACACTGCGTACCAAAAAAATGACTCATACCATTTTCATTATAAAACAAGCTACATTAACTAAATAAATAATCGATAACAAGGTTTATTTTGTTATTTTAAAAAGTAATGGTGACTATTTTAGTTGTACAATTGCCTCCCTAGCAGCTAGGGCCCTGGAAGGCCCTGCTCTAAGCAATTAGTATTGCACTTCCATAAGGTTGGGGGAATTACAAATGACAGATTAAAAAAGAACGAGGAAGAAACTAAAAAAACAGAGGCAGAGATATCCGGACTTTTAGTCTCTAATGAGTCAATCTCCAAAAACCCTGGGTCCTGCATTTCTCATAATATAACCAATAGTATCTAGTCATTAGACCCTCCCTATCGGGTAAATTGTTTTTTTCAAAATGTCAAAAAAACTCCCTTCAAGGCCACAGGCTGATTAACAACTTTTAAAGTATTTTTGGGGGGGCAGTTTATTGCCTTTATTATAGTGACAGCTGAAGACAGACAGGAAAGGGGGGCAGAGAGAGGGGATGACATGTAAAGGGCCGCAGGTCTGATTCGAATCCTGGGCTGCTGCAGCAAGGACTCAGCCTCGGTACATGGGTCGCCAGCTCTACCCACTGAGCTAACCGGGCGCCCTGACTAGCACCTTTTAATGAATAAACTAAGCATAAAGTATAAAATCCGGAGTGGATTTCCCCTAACAGTTCAAATCATATTATCTGATACCCCTCTGCTCTCCTGTCTACTGGGGTTTCTGTGTGTCCACTCCAGCCGTGGGCCCATAGCATTATCACCCACTTTTCCTCACATACGACAAAAGTATTAATATCAGATGCAAATGTTAGAGGTCAGATACATATCTTATTGAAACCATGCTCTCTTTCTGCCTCAGTTCATTTTATTATTATCAGTCTATTTCCTTTGTTTCAATACAATCACTTCTCTATGTCAATCATTCATTTTACAGCTATACTATATAAGTATATTGCTTTATTAGGGGGAAAGCACAGGTAGACAGGAGTGACAGGCGTTGGCGGAAACGAGGATGGGGTGTGTTTGATTTGAGGTTAAAACTGATTGTTCCAATGGACATTTGCTCAGAACAGTTGAATAAAAAAGCAGTTGCATTTAGTTAACAAATGTGTATCAGTTAGTTGGTGGCAATTTGGCTTTCCCTGACTCGGTGCACTTTTATGGCTCGAACAGATTGGGAATATATATAGTAATGGAATAACAGTGGAAGATAAAAAAGTTCATTAGAAATAGTGTGTGCACATACTTGTGGAGTTGCATACTAGCGCGGAAGGGTGTTCAGCCTGGTATTCCACGGTACCTAATATTTAACTTGCAAATGACCAGAGCGATATCAAAACAAAACAGTGCCACAGGAAGAGTTCTGTTGAATTAAATTTTAACCAAACGGTGTCATGAAATGTCAATACAAAGGTAGTGTGGAGAGCAAATGGCAAGGAAGTAACAAAAAGTGCAGTTCCTCTAACGGCCACTAGAGGCTGGCTCCAGCCGTG